TGGAGGACTGGACTGGGATATTTGACAGACACAGCCAGCGTCACTTGAAAATTCAACCTTGAATTCTTGCTAATTTAGAAATGAGCTATTTAAACACACATACCCCAGGAGAAAAATGGCTTTTGGTTGTGAGCTGTGGCATTTACATTTATCCTGCAAAGATAGTGCTGCTATAAAGTCAAGTTTTTTCTACTGAAAAGTTATTTCAGGCAGTTTTAAAAGATTTCTTAAAGTATGTGGATTATATTTATTCTCTAGCAGGTAGACCTGAGCCTATGACAGTCAATGTGTCTGGGTCTGTATATGAAATAGTAAGGAAAGGCCAGTGCAAAACAGTTAAAACACTGCAAAATGTATCTGGCATTGACTTTTTGTAAGGCAAGGCAGCAGGGTCAAAAGCCTTCATGAGCTGCCATCCACAATGCTGCCACCAATGCCAGGAGCTTTGGACTCAACCTTTATGCACCCTTCCATTCACCAATTCTCTTCTCCTCCTGACTCTGAGAGAGAAGGGGACAGTCTTTTGGCTTCAAAGTTCCTATGTCTTACTTCAGGCCAAAGGATATTTCTGTTGTTTGAAATCTGAAAACAGTTTGAATTCTAAGAAGGTATCTTTACATTTTGCAAAACCAAAATCAGATTTTTTCCATTCAGAGCTAATTTGTTTGATATACACCATAATAAATAAAAACCAAGATGCTAGTATGTCCAAAAAATGAGTGCATCAACATCCCATGTTTTCAAAGTGGGAAAGAATTAGTCTGAAAGTAAGATGAGATATCTCAAACAGGTGTGTCTCTAGGTCAGCTTAGTAAACTCATTCCATCTTCTAAAGTCCACGAAAGCATCTGCTAGTTTTAATAAATGTTCTTTCAAGATGAGAGGTAGAAGTAGCAGAGCAAATTGCTACAGTAACAGCCACTACCCACCCTGGAGATGTTGTAAATGTGTTTGGCTGGAAATACTGTCCAACACCAAAGGAGGCAGCGATACAGAGATCTCAGGGAGTTATCTTTTCTCTTGTTTTGCTGTGTGGGCTTTGGCTCATCGCTTCTTTGTGGACCTGGGTGAGAAAAAAGAGGTTTTCCCATCTCTCAGTAACTGAGAGAAAGAAACTGAAGGTAAGAAGTATCTGTATCTCAGGTAGAGAGGCACAGAGAAATTAATTTTAAAAACTGAAACATTGATAGAGGAGTGGGCCTAATTTTGAAACTATGTCCTACTTTTATTTCAATGTGTGACTGTTTAAAATTCATGTTAACCTATAAAAATTTTAGATTTTTGAACAAAACACCTTTTAAAAAATCAGAAAAAATACCTTTTTTTTTTTTTTCCTTTCAAGAGTGTTGATGGGGGTACTCTGACAGTTTGGGAACTTCCCCCAACATATTTTCCAAACATTGAAAAATTCTTGAAACTACCCCTGTTCATTTTGAGAAGCTAGCATTTTTGAAGGGGAGAGGAGAGAGGAAGTGTTAGAGGTAAATGTTTGCGAAGCTCTCCATCTCTGTGTCTGAAAAATGGACCCCACCTTCACTTACTTCTCTGGGCACAGTCCCTGCTGAAGAAGTTCTGTGTGCTTTTTCCTTTGAAACATCACTGGACCTCAGGCAACAGAGGATTTTGCTTACGTGCCCAAGTGGGTGTCAGTCAGCCCGTACTGAACACCTTGCCTATGTGTACAGCTACAGTAATGTTTACCCGTGCTGCTGCCTGGTATCATTTGACACTCATGCTTAGTGTCTTCAGATCAGGAGATTAGGTCAGGCCAATTTTATTAGTAAGAACGATCCCAGTGCTGCTAGTCTGATTTAGAATAATAATTTTGAAAATATCTTCTTTTCATAAGTGCACTAGTGTGCATTTCTTCATGTGTTTAAACTGCTTTTCTGTTTCCCAGATGCTTCCCTTCCCAGGCACCTTGGGCAGGCTGTCATTAAGAAGAGAGGAATCGTTCATCCATAGCACGATTTTAGGTCACAGCTTTCCCTGGAAGCCTGCAAGACCTAGGAGACTTTTGTGTAAAGGACAAGCCTAACCTATTGGATCTACTGTCAAACATTTTAGATAGTCCATGGTACTTGCAAGATCTGAATTAGAGTGGGCACTAATGCAATGCATATTACTGGATTTGGGCTGGAGAATTCCCAGGCCAGCTTGAAAATCTGACAGTTTCCTGCAGAGTTTTACATGGAGGAAAAAAGATGTACCTGTGAGCAGTGGGGAGGGGTGCCCACGTTGACTGCACTGCCAAAACCTAGGTTTCTGTTGGATATCAGGACTTCTTCCCTCTGCAAATTAATGGCAACCAATGGCTGAACCAGCACTGTGGACATAAATCATGTGAAGGAACAGCGAGAAATGAGTACAAGGCTTTTCTTTCTATTTAGTAATTTATCAAGGGAAGTGGCACATTAATAAACAGATCTCCCTTGAGGTGTGGGAGTAACAGAGATAAATATGACTGTCAAATCTGGCCTGCTTCCTTCTGTTAGAGAAGGAGGAGACTGTGGGAATGCAAATGTAGGAAACAATATCTATATCTGGAAAGACGCATATTATTTGTAGGACAGAAACACTGGCAACTCATCTGAGATGGGGCCTCATTGCACCTGGTGCAGTATGTACAGAATAAAGCACAAACCCTCTCTCTCTAAAGGAACTCATCTAAATAGATGACACTGAGAAATAGGGACACTGAAAGAAGCAGCAATTTGCTCAAGGAGGTATGACTGGGGAGGAAACACACCCAGGTCTTTCCAGGTTGTGGCACATGTATCAAATCAAGATGCCTTATGGCCAGAGGAGGGAAAACCAGAAAGTTTAATTAGTTCAGACCAGTTACATTAATGCATGAATATATTGCAGATAGAGGACAGTTTTGACCATTATGATCTAGACTCAAGCAACCTTCACGTTGCTTGTTCTAGGGCTCTGGGAGGACTCAGATTTCATAGACCAGATGTGAAGGTTGAGAATTCTGCACTCCAGCCTTTGCTGAGGGAAGGTCATTTGCTCGTTTTGGTTTTGCGTCCATAGTGCTTCTGCAAAGTGTCTGCATCTTTTCCAGCTTCCGTGGAAGTGCCACTCATCATGACACACGGGGCTGAAGTCTTCCAGCTGCAAGCACTAGGAAGGTTTGAGCCTAGTCCCTCCAAATCATGTAACATCTTTAACATTCAAGAGGTGGTTTTTATAGGCTGCTGCTCTTTCTGTTTGCTACCTGATCCTTGAGTCATGTTTCCTCTCATCTCCCTGCCCGTGAGGCTGCAAAATGTAGTTATACAAAATATTATAAGAAGAGTGTGTTCAATATATATGCAACAATTTGATTTTTAGGAGAAATTCCCAATAATATCAGTATTTCAGTAAAGGTATTGCGTGTAGCAACTCTTGATGGTGTAGGACAAAAGTCACAAGAGTGCTTGGTTCAAGTACCAACTTAGCCTTGGACTTCCAGTGGGACCTTGGGACTGTTTATCTTGTGCAATGAGGGACATTATGGGAAGTAAGAGGATGGTGGTACTAAACCCCGTTGATTACACATCACCCAGGCATGTTAATGACAGAGCCACTTAGGTGCATGGGTGAGTCATGTGGAGACTGGGAGACTGCAACTCAGCCACCGGTCTCAGGGAAATGTTGACACAAACTTCTGTGAGCCAACACAAATCAAACTGGCAGGATATATTTTCCCTCCTTCACCCTCATTCAACCTCTCACATACCAGGACTGTCATCAGGATGGAAAGTTTATGCTCTTGCAAAGTGCCAGGCTTGTATTTGGTGATATGCAACCAAAATCAGTGCCTCCAAACATCTAGAGGAAAATAGCTCATATTGCCTGGCTGGGCAATTTAGTGTTTTATTCACAGTGTTTAATAGAATAAACCCATAGGAAGCTCTCTGGGGAGACCACTACTGGAAAAGTCAGGTGGTGATGCAGTGCTGTGCTCATCAAGGGAAGGAGATGGAGAGGCTGAGCTCTCCTGCACCCTTGGGTGGATGGCAGGAATTACCAGCCAGGTCCCATGACCAAGTGCTGTGTTTTACCCTGAGAAACTTTTTTTTTTAAATAGACAGCCTAAACTCTGCTCACTTTGGAGGGATGACTCATTCCAGGCAGGGCTAGGGTTCAGGCAGGTTTTGGATCTGGTACCCTGGTACTGGAGAATGTTGTGGTATTGGCCCATCTGCAACTCCCGTCCATGCCACCCCAGAGATTTGAAGGTGGGTCAGGCCTGGGCAGAGTTTCCTCTGGATGAAGTCAGTCATTCCAGTTACAAGTGCCGATGCACTGAGGGATGCCAAACTTTTACAGTAGTAACTCGTCATGTATTGCAGATCCACAAACGGGACTGGCAGGGTTGGAAATTACTTCATGCCTGAATGATTGACAATGGCTAATAGGGCCCAGGCACTGGCAGGTCCCCTCAGAGGGGGAGAGTTTGAACTTTGTGCCTGAGCTGCCAAATTGGTTCTCTTAAAACTCTTAATTTACTTTTGGGGTTTCTGGAGCCTTGCCTCCTTCATTAATTGGATGGTCAGCATTGTGCTGGTGCTCGTTTGGTTTCCGTTCCCTCTGCACACAAGCACACACACCATTTGCAATGGTTGCCCCAGCTCGGATGTGCGGCTCTTCTGGCCCGCTGCTCCTGACACCGAGTCAACAGGGACAGCTGCGCTCATGGAAACCTTGCAGGGACGTTTCCCTTTTAATTTTAAGTTAATTTAGTGCCTGTGAAAGGGAGCGATGGACAGGCTTCTGTATCCTCCAGAGACAGCGAAGCAAGGGGGCATTCATGGCACTGCCTGACCCCTGTCATTCAGCACCCAGAGGAAAGGAAACATCCCATCAAAGTGCAGCTGATCCCTGCGCTGCTCCTGGCTCCTGAACATCCCACAGCAGTCATGAGTGCAGCAGTTCTCAGGACTTCCAGCCCACCTGCAGAAAGGGAGCAGCCCACTGGTTTTGTCTGACAAAATCTCTCTTTCCTGCAGTGTCCCGGTTTTCGAGCCCGCGGGTGACTCCAAGGTTAAGCCGAAAACGAGCCCTGTCTATCTCCCCACTGTCTGATGCCAGCATTGATCTCCAGACAATGATCAGGACCTCCCCAAACTCTCTCGTGGCATATATCAACAACTCCAGAAGCAGTTCAGCGGCGAGTGGCTCCTACGGCCATTTATCTGCTGGGACAATCAGGTAAAGCTTTGGGAATGGCATTGTTCAGCTGAGGAACCATCCCTACGAAAAAAAGGATGATCCTCCGGCAAGGGAGACCTTCCCTTCCTTGCAACCTCTGCTTTTGTACATCAGGGCTGTGTAGTGTAGTAAATCAAAGCCCCCATCTGGTTTTGCATGTGGAAGGGTATTTTGTGACATATGGGGTGGGTTTTTTTGGCTGAATTGGGATTATTGGTTACCACATTTCCAGCAATTACAGTATGATCATGCCTCCCTGCAAGCAGAAACAGATAATAAATTAATCTAAATGCTCACTGTGAGCAGTTGGACTGGTTAAGAAACACTCTGATTTAAGAGATTGCCCTGAAGTATTCTCCAAATTATTGGCCCACATTCTTAGAAAAAATGTTGTCTGGGTGGATTGAAGAGCATAATTCTAAAAACATAGTTAAAACAAATCTAAACCCTCGAGTAAAGTTTTCTTCAAATCCTAATTAAAAAGCCCTTACATTAGGCTGCTGACTGTTGTCAATTCCTGCTATGATTGCTTCACCCAAGTTTCACAATGTTATTATTCTTTTTATTACTTAACTGTTAAAAATGTTAGATTTAATTAACACTGATGTTGCAAAGCAAGGGTTATAAAGATTATGCACTCCTAAAACTTGTGGGGGATAACAGAGATATTGCTATTAGTAATTCTAACAGTGATTTTGTAAGTTACTTTATCCAGCAGCATAATTTAAAATCAAACTGTAATGTTTGACTGTAAAGCCAAACATAATGCTGATTTAAACAAATTGCAACTCCTTGTCTGGTAATAATTTTTTTTCTAGTCTTTTTACCTGTTGTCATCAGCTGGACATACCTCTAAGCATCTCAGCTTACACTCAGATTTTAAGGGTAGTGTCTGGTATTTTCAAGAAACCAGTAGAGTGCAAAGACTGACCCAATAGTCAATTGTTGGCCTCCGAGGGAATAATCAACTAATAATAATAAAGAATTTGAAACCGTTATTGGTGTTTTAAAAGTATATCCTAAATGTCAGGAATTTTAAAGTGGGTTACATATATAACAGGATAACTGCTAGAAATTTGGGTGAAAAGACTTTTTTGTTATTATTTTAGCAATGTGTTAGAGGCTGGAATGAAATCCGCTCTGTAAAAGCAAAATTGGCAATGAAGCATGTTGCTAATTATGGCCCCATTTTCACACCTTGGGCAGTTTTAGTGGTGTGAGAGAAAATACCATGAGGGTAAAGGTTCAGGGCAGTCACCTCTTAAAGGTGGTAAATAATCAGTTTTTGGGCTGAGAATCCGTGGTTCATGAATCACCGGCTTAGAGTACCCACAGAGCATCTCCTGTGCTTCTCTGCCTCTGCCCAGGGGACTTGGCCCTGGGGGTGAACCCCTTTTTTCCAAAAGCAGAGCTTTGTTTGTCTCACACCTGTTGCCCCACTTATCTCCCAAGCAGCCAGGGGCTAGTGGTGTTCCTGGTCACCACTGACCTAGATTGGAGATGAACCAGTGACCTACATAGGAAGGGTGACATACTTCAGCAGTCCCCTGAGCCAGCACTCCCCTCACCTGAATGCAGAGTAAATTGCATGGTTTTGGACTATGTTAAGTGGATACTTATTCATCCCTGCTGTAATCTGTGCCAAGTGAGCCAGGTGATGCTGGTTTTTCATATCCAGGTTAGCATAACCCCAAGGTTGCGAGTCTGCAAAATAGGTCTGTCTGGGAAAACCCAGGAGCCTCAGGGGCTGCAAAGCCAGATGTATCCAAATCCCATCCTCTTCTGCACTCCCTGACAAGGGCTTTTGTTGTTTTTTTCACATAAGAAGCAAAGAAATTACAAAGTATCAGTTGTGTTGGGTCAAAATGATTCACCAGTTTGTTGAGGTACACGCGAGACAAATCACGCCTTTGCAGTAAAGCAGGCTGTCAGGCTTATTGTGATATTGAAGGCATCTAGCTAGGGCATCGCAGCCTGTCACCTGGAGTCTTCAGGAAGCCAAACTTGAATCAGGCACTAGCTAATGTGACAAATATTGTTAAAAATAACTGCTCATCATTTTTCTTTCTCTTGTTGCTGCAGTCCGGCATTCAGCTTCCCCCACCCCCTTAACCCTGTGACGTACCAGCAGATCCTGACCCAACAAAGAGGCCTGAGCTCAGCCTTCGGACACACTCCTCCCCTGATCCAGCCGTCCCCGACCTTCCCCCCACGGCAGCACATGGCAGTGATCTCGGTCAACCCACCACCAACACAGATCAGCAACAACAGCAACTGCATCTCTGACTCCAGCCAGGTAGGAGCAGCTATCCTGGTCCTCCAAATGAGCAGTGCCCTTCATGGTGGCTGTGGGAGTTTTACCCATTCTCTTTTTACTCATACTAGCCCCTTATGTTGCTTTTTCTTTTTCCTGGCTACTGTTCTGACTAGTCACAGCCAAATTTTGCATCCACATCCCTTCCTTGCACAAACACGTACCTACCCATGCAGAAACCAAAGGCCTTGATCCATCAAGTGTTGAACGTGATATGCAAAGTCATCTCAGGCAGGAAATCTCCTTGAACATGTGCCATGTCCTATTGAAATCGAGAGAATTCAGCACGTGCTGTAGTGTTTTCCAAGTACCTGAGCACTGTGAATCAAACTTCATCAGTACCTTCACCAATTCCTCCTCCCTTTTTTGCACTGATGTGAACTATGCCAGTGGTCTTTATCTTTAACAAATAAATGCATCCTACATAGAACTTCTTCACATTTTACTTACTGTTCCTTTTTTTTTGGTAGCTTCCGTCTCAGTGTATCCCTGCTGTTGATTTTTACTGTTAAATTTTGCAAAACTAGGGGGCCAGATTGTGAAAACTAGGAATGCCATGATGTGTGTGAAATCCCACACCTCAAAAGCATCCTTACAAATACCTGTGAGCTCACCCAGGCAGATAGATGTGTACACAAGCCCTCCACATGCACTGGATTAGTGAATATGTCTAACACATTCTTAATCATTTTTCTTTTCCACTTACATTCCTTCAAAGTTTAAATTGCAGTCGCTTTTCTCCCCAGAGACTTATTTCACCTTATTTCACACCCATTTCAAATTGTTGTTTTAGTTGTATCATACTGAACTTTTCAGACTGGTTTATTGTTTTAGGGTTTCTCATGGTTCCTGCACTGCAAATTCTGTTTGTTATTGCAGGTTATTTGATTGATTGGTTTTGTTTTCTTCTTACAAACTGGCTACCAAAATAATGTGGCTGGCAGGAGTTCTGCCTCTGTTTAATAATTTGCAGGACCAATCTTGAGCAATTAGCAAGAGTATTGAAAATATTAATGTTCCAATTTTATGCACATACAATGGGATGTTTTTTCTCCTGAAGTTGTTCTCATTTTTTAAGAGCTTAGCAAAATACACACATAGTCTTTCATGCACTCAGCATGCCAGAGCCCTCATACATAACCAGAGCCCCCTGCTCCCCCCTGGAATTCATTTTCTCAACAAATCATTTCATCACACTGAGAAATAAAATTGTGGCTTGGGTGGGGGTTGTATAAGGCTTGGGTGGCTTTCACATGGATTGGATTGTTCTGAAACAGTGCAGCAGTGGTGAGGCCAAGCTCACTGGTGAGCAGAAAATGGGGCTGCCCTTGACTCTTCTTCCCTCTCTTCCATCCCTCTGCCTTGCACAAACACACACGGGCTGGTTTTCATAGGAAACCCAGGGCAACAGGCCAATACCCTGTTGTCCCCTGCCACTCCTGAAGTTCATGCTGCTGCCTGTCTCTCATCCCAAACCCCAGTGCCATATCTTGCCTGGTTTTCTTTCCTAGAGCAAGCAAAGCAGCGAGTCGGCCGTGAGCAGCACCGTCAATCCAGTAATTAACAAGCGCAGCAAAGTCAAGACTGAAGTCGAGGGCTTGCCCCCAGTGTCCCCAAACACACAGGTAACCTCCCTGGTGCAAGACATGTTGTGTGACCGAGACAGCTGAGTCTTGTCTTTGGGAATGATACTCTTGGCACCTTAGGCTGCAGCTGGAAGCAAGGCAGCAAAGCCTGCCAGGCAAGCGGGTGTCTCCTGGAGCGTGAAGCCCAGAAGGGTACAGGGCAGAGCTGCAGTGATTGAGTGAAATATTCGATGGGTGCCTGGGACTCAGCTTGCTGTTGCTGTACTTGGATAGAAAAAAAAGAAGAGAGGAAATATACGAAGTGTGATAATTTAAAAATCACATCTTGAGTTTTCTGTGCTGCAAAGCAAGCGGTGTTAGTGTCTCAGAGCAAACATAGATTATGAGGGAAGCTTGCATGTAGGTAGAAGGCTTGCAAAAAAAAGGACAACTTCTTGATTCAACAAGGAATTGCTCTTAGAAACATCCTTTACACTGGTGACACAACATTTGACACCAAGAAGGGCCCAAAGGCCTTTGCTTTCTTGCTGGAGCTCTGTGATTGCAAACTGTTTAATGGCTGACAGTATCCATCTGACCGTTCTTTATCACAACTGTAAACTATCAGGAGTGCTCTGGGCACTTCATTTTCATGAAATATTAGACCGTGTTATTGTCAAGCGAATGGAAGAGTTGATGACAAATTTCTCCTTCTGCCCTGGTTCAGGAGCAGGTCTCAGCATGATGCATGGGGACAGCAACGTGTGCAGTCATCAGGGGGCTGGTAAAATTGATGAAGATAGCATATCAGGGAAAGATAAACATGCTGTAGTCAGCACGATTAGGGCAAAGAGGCACCTCTCTGGAGCTTTGAGTTTAGGAGTGCATCTACACACTACTGCAAAATCACAAGCCCCGAAAAACTAATCTGGCCACCACCCGGGCTACTAGGGCAACGTGTTTATTTCTTGCAGCAAATGAAAAAGTATTTGAAAGCTATTACCTGCTTTGTCAAAGCATGTGTAGCAGAGGAGCTGTGGAACAGACAGACATCTGATAGCTCAGTGGCTGTCATCCTCTGTTCTCTGCTCCAGTGCAAAGCGATGTGCACCCAGCCTCAGGGAGTGCTTGGACAGTGGCAGCCTGGCTCACCCCTGCAGCCCTGCCCCAGAGTTTAATCCACTGGGTCTTACAGGCACTGAAATTGGCACTGAAAGAAGCGGGAGAGTAGTTTAAAGTGGTGAAAGGAGATTTGATTGGAATAGCAAGGTGAAATTAAGAGTAGGAAAATGCACACTGATCATCTAATAGTTCCTAATGAGGCAATATGTGAAGTAATACCCCAGGGGAAATGTAGGCTCCATGTCTTGCGGCATTTCAGTATGGACTGGGAAATCACTAGACAGTACCATGTAAGAGACAGCCCATTCTTGGCAAGGAGGACAGGTTAAAAAGCTGAATGTAGTGGCTGTCTCCTCTTTGGTCTAAGCAACAGCAATTCATTAAATTTGGGAATTCCTTTTCTGCAGGAGACTGTGCTGAAAAGTTGTGTTACAGTCAATTAGGTATTGACTGATTCATTTTTTGCCGACTATAAAGCTCATCCTTCCTAAAAAAAACATGTATGTGTATGTTTTGTTTTGGAAATGCTGTATTGGAAACGCCTCATGTGAATTGTGGTTTGGGTGTTCAAAATCCTTGGCCAGACAGTATTCCAGTAATGGCTTGTGCTCTAAAAAAATGCAATCCAGACAAGATTTGTGGGACACAGTAGAGCACCAGGCATGAGTGACCTGAGTTACTGAGCTCTTACAATGCCTCAAGAGCTCCAGTACAAGATTCAGATTAGCATTGAACTAGCCAGAAATAAAACAAGTCAATCCTCTTCAACAAATAAAATGGTTTCAATTCCATTTTTCCAAAAGAAGGTATAAAATTTTGGCAAAATAAGATTTTTAGTAGAAAATTACAGTTTTCTAGGGACCACACTTTGCATGAAGACAAATGTTTCAACAAAAAATAATGCTCATAACTCAACCAAATAGGAATTGCAGGAAAAAGAAGCTGCTATTTGAACTTTCTCAGACTGTTGCTATGGACTCTCATATAGTTTGAATGTCCAGAAGTCTATCTGTAAATTACTACAGTTTCCTGTCCCAAAAGCCACCTTGCAATACTTCTTTTTTTAAATTAAGAGCTAATTAAAACAAATCTCTTCCTCTCCATATCTAAACTTTTGAATCGAAAAGTCATAGCTGGCATGTATGTCATGAGCTAGTTAATGAAAATTGTTGAACTTTGGTACAGTATGTCTCACTTTCCAAACCATATAATGCCATTAAGTCATTAATCACTGCAGCTCCCCAGGAGGCATTCGGAAAGTGTTGGTGGGGAAGGAGATGGCAGCCAGATAGATTTGTTTGGGCAGGCCAGAGACAGTTTGAGATGGGTCTGGCTGTGTCTGCACACATATGGGTCCAACTGGAGAATCAGATCATGAGGAACAGTGTCTGCCGTGGTTAGTCATCCCAGATGCTCCTGTGTAAAGCTGTCCTGCAGGTGGGATGTTTTGTTATAGGCAATAGTAGTAATTGGGAGGAAAGAGAGTGAAGGAGGACAAAACATGCAGGGTTTTGTCTTGCTAAATTCCAACCCAATATTGGCTGCTGATTGCCTTGTCTCTAGTACAAGTGTCTGATGCATGCAGAGCTGACAGTTGTCCTTACTCTGAATTGTACTAATTATGTTGTGTGCTACACTATTGTGTAGTTGCCTATACTTTAATCCTCATAGCAGCCATAACAAAAATCTTCTGTGCTTCATTTAGCACTGAGGAGCTGGCTAGACAGAGAAGTTAAGGAGAGAGCTCACAGCGTGCTCAGCATTAAGAAACTCATTTATGAGTCGGGAATTCTGGAGCTCTGTTCTGCAACCCCAGCCTTCACTGGGTCTTGCTCAAGGTTCCCAAATTTCAGTCTCAGAGAAGTGCTTTGAGAGCTCATCACTTTGTCCCTGTGGAGCATCCTGCAGGCATAAATCTTTGGGTAAGGATTAGGTATCATTTTCTCATCTACTAAAAAATGCAGAAAACAGAAACCCTCTCCCCTGCCCATGTCAGGTAAGTGTGGTAACCACTAGGCTCTGAGCCCTCTGTGGTTTCTTCATGCTCATGTTTCCCCACTTTGCCCAGATCAGAAGTTTTTCTCCAGCAAAGAACACAACCAAAGGTCAAGAGCCGGCTTTTTCCTTTCTCCAGCCTTTCCTGAGACTACCCACAACCTGGCTGAAGCCAGGCATTGCTGTGGTGATGGCTTCGGGATGTTTCATGTCATGTCATTAACTCTGATCCACTTCTACCAAAACTCTGTAACTCTTTATTTCACAGTAATCATGGATGTTATGTAACCAAAATGAGCATGGTTTTGTGATCAGTTGATACCTGTCCTGTAATCTATGAGTAATGGAGGAATTAAGATGAAAGAAGTTCACTTATACAATGTACTATTGTGTGTTGCAGGAGCATCTGACAGACCTGAAAGAAGATCTAGATAAGGATGAATGTAAACAGGAGCCTGAGGTGATTTATGAGACTAACTGTCACTGGGAAGGGTGCACAAAGGAATATGACACTCAAGAGCAGCTCGTCCATGTGAGTAATGGTTGGGAGGAAACCCCAGCGATAAATTTGGGTTTCTGTGCATTTGTCCTCATATTTTATCACTAGCTGCTGTACAGCCAGAGCTCACCCTGGGAGCTACTAAAGGTGCAAATCAGAGATACGGTGTGTAAACACTGCCAAAGCAGGTCGCTGCTCCCCAAAGAGTTCAGCTGAGAGAAGCCTCTCATAGATTATGTGATATTGCTCCCTTCTCAGCTGCTGAGGCTGCAGTTTCAGTCTCCCTTGTGAATGGCCCAACGACAGAAGGCTCTGTGCAGAAGGGCCTGATCAGAAAATGGGGAAGAGGGCTGAGCCCTTCCTTCTTCACTGGCCATATTCACTGAGCTTTCCCATGTAGCTACTCCAGCACTGGGTCAGGGATTGTCTGTGCTGTCCCCAGTCCTAGTCCATGAGAGCCTTTTATGCTGCTGTGACATGACCTGTGGGGCCATATCATTTAAAGGCTGTTGACCTGCTCAGCTCATCCCTCACACAAAAATAGAGCACTCTAGAGTTTGGAGACAGGCTTCAATGTCTCCATCAGAGTCTGAAATACAGAAAGTGGGTTGATTTCTAAATATGGTTGATTTCCATAATCACAGTGGTGTCCCCAAACCAGTATCAAAACTGCTCTCTGAAGGATCCCCAAACCAAATCATTAATCAGATTTTCAGTTCTAATTAATTCCGAGAACCTTTTGTACGCTTTGCTTCATCTGGGAATCCAATGTTTGGTTTTCTTTGGCTTCTGAGGTCAACAAATCCTTCATACTCAGAGCAAGTGCCTGTGAAATCAGACATCAGCTGTGTCTAAGCCCCATCCTGCCCTCAGCCCAGCACCCTGCAAGTCACTATTTTGGGTCTCTGGTGTGAGCCCTTTTTATGAAGCCAGCCCATATCTGCAGGGAATTCACCAACCTAGCAACCCTAGGCCTGTTGCTTGCAGCTAAGTGTTGGATTGGGCAAATTTTGCAACAGGAGCTGCTACCTTCTCCTTTTCCTTCAGCCTTTTGCTGCTTGTCTTAGCCAGGCTCCCAGTCTGCCAGGGGCCACCAATGTGCAACTCACATATAGCCATCTTCCTGAGGGCTTGTGTCTGCTCTCACCCTTTTTTATATATCTTCTTTTTACATATGTTTAGATGCCACCAAGTAGGCATCAGTACCATTTGCCCAAGTTCTGCAGACAAACATTATCTTAGCCCAGAAGGACCACACTCTAAATTATAATGTTTGGCACATGCTTTTCTTCCATCTAAGGGTAGTGCCTACCCACCTCTACCAGAAGTCACTGGTTGAGTGCAACAAGTCCTTGAGTACAGGAAGATTTGGAAATGGTTTTCAAGGCCAAATGAGCGATAAGGTGCTTAATGGGTTGCACATTGCATGCCACAGGATGTTGCTTTTCTGGGGTTAAACCACAGCAGCCCTCTCAGATGGGCTGAGCTCACATTTGTCCAGCAGTTTTTGTGTGTTTCCCTCTCAGATGTAAGAAAAACTAACTCTGCCCAGAGCAAAGTGCAGAGCACCAGGCAGCTCAGCAAAAATTTGTTTCCAGAAAACAAACCAAAGAAAAACATTCAATGAAATATCCAAGATCCTAAATTTGGACAGTTATAAAAATGGAGGCTTCTGTACTATGATTACTAGCAATGTGGGGTTGTGGATTTGGGATGCCCAAAATACACATGGAAATGAAATACAGATGTTGTGGGTCAACTTCTGAGAAGGTGGCATCTCATCATGCATGGAAAAACTCTAGTTTGTGTGCAGAGCAAAGTACCTGGGCGAGCAGGGTCTGTTCCCCACAGACAGTGCACAGTGTGCTTGTGGGAGAAGTGAGTGTCAACAGGGATCTGCAGGAGTGAGGATATATTTTTGCAAGCACAACTGCTGCTCCCAACTTCAAAGGTCACACTCAATTTGAGAGAAGTTTGAGAGAAGCCCAGGCAAACCTCCAGCCAGGTGGGGGCTATGGAGCTGTAGCTGAAGTGGGTTGAGTTGTGCAACTGCTCATCCACCACGTGATGGGAAGCAGATGTTGCCCAGACAGTGAGTGAGTGCCCTTTCCATAAATGTTCTTCCTCTGGCCCAAGCAAGTCCAAATGGGCAAGCCTGTGCTCTCTCCCACTACTGGCACTGCCTTGTGTAGTCTTAGTTGCAAGTCAGACTCCCACACAAACAGAGCCTGGAGACATATCTTCCCAGTCTGGTCTGGGCATGGTTTAGCATGTCCATGGGTCTCCTGGGAGGTTCATCAGTTTTCCACAATCTGAGGCTAAAATCTCACACCAATGCTATGTAATAAAACCAGAACCATAGGCAGCAGAACTCCAAACCCATACGAAACCTCTCCCAAATGCAGCCTTCCCCGACTCTCCCAGCATGCAGCTTTGGCTCTCAGTTTTTACCAGTAGTGCCTGAGAGACCAGCTGAGCCCCACACACCTCCTCTTGTCCCTGGGTAGAACTGGGACCCTAGGCAGAAGGTCCCTGACGCCAGCATTGGATCACAGCACACAGAATGCTGAGGCTGGATTTGGCTGGGACTGAGAAGGCTGATGATTTTGTTTTAATGTACTTTTGTGTCCTCACATTGCCTCACCACCCCGAGAAAATCTCATCCCAAGCTGCAAAATGTGTGCCTGCCCTTGGCCAGGGGGACAAAGGCGGGGGCTGGAAAAAATCTCAGCACAAAAAAAGCCAAAACCCAAACCCAAAGTGGTTTATTTTAGGATTTCCTGTCAGTGAATGTCTACTGAAAACACAGGAGCAAGGACAGGCATTATTTTTGGCAGTGAGACCCCATTCAGAAAGACAAGGCCGCCGCGGGAACAGCGCTGCCGACAGACTGGTCTCTGGCTCTGCTTATTTTCAGCAGAGCTTCATCTGCCCTGAGCTGGGAAAAAGCGACTCTTCCTCCCAGGGTGGACGAAGGCACCATTCTGGGTCTGGCTTTTCAACACCCCAGCAAAGGATTTCATGGACCAGAGTAATTAGCAGTAATTGATGCAGCTGAGTTTTTGCTGGCTCATAGCTCACAGATGCTGTCATTTCCTGCCAGCCACCAGTGCTGGACAGCAGGTGGATGTCTTGGGACCGGCGTGTGGGCTGGTGTGCAAGTAGGCTTAGAAACATAGAATCATTCAGGTTGGAAAAGACCTTTAAGATCACTAAACCCAACAGAGGCTTGTCTCCTCCTGTCCACCACCCTCCAGCAGCTCCCCGGGAAAGTGTCCCAGCTGCATAAATGCAGCACAGCAGGGTTCAGCAGAGACAAAACTTACTCTGTCATCCCCCTCAACAGTGACATCAAGCAGCTGAGGGGGACACTAAGAGGGCTCCTCTTTCCCTGGCACTGTGGGTCCCCATTGCATTTGGAAACCTCTCATTTATAGCTGCTTTGGAGCCAGTGTGCTGAGTGCTGTGCACCTTCTGCAGGACACACCAGACCACAGTGTTGGGTCCTGTGTCCCTGGTGTTATTTGTGCACCTGGCACCCAGGTGCAATGCCTGACCACAAGCACCGGGTAGGGAACATCTGGCTTTTGGAGCACTGTGTGTGCTTCGCTGGCATCAGCTCTTCCAGGCGTGACCTGCTTTTCCTTTCTCTCCTACCAGCACATCAACAATGATCACATCCATGGGGAGAAGAAGGAGTTTGTCTGCCGCTGGCAGGACTGCACACGGGAGCAGAAGCCCTTCAAGGCTCAGTATATGTTGGTGGTGCACATGCGAAGGCACACAGGAGAGAAGCCGCACAAGTGCACGGTGAGCTGGCAGGGACACATGGTGCATCTCACTTGGCAAGTGCGCTGCGGGACTTTGGTGGTCACAAAAATGTGTGTGCAGACACGGCATGGCTTCAGGTAGGGCTCTAGCAGGGTACCCACTGGCACCCGGCTCAGAGCCAGTCCTGGGTTACAGCTACTTGCAGGTTAGACCCTTGGGACAGGACAAGAGGTCAAGGAGTATGGTCGAGATGCTAGTGGGCAAAACTGCATTTCCTTGGAAAAAATGGTTTCAGACCTACCAGAGAGATCTAAAGCAACTCAGGACAAGTCACTTAAGGTGGAAATCCAGACAACTCAGTTGCCTACATCAAGGAAAGAAATCCAGTAATGCCACACTCTGGGAAACCACCTAGCCTGGGTCATGTCTAACTTGACATCACCCACTACTGCATCTGGGACTGCGAGTTTCCCTCACCCACATACCCAAGCATACACACAAGCCTCCTTCCAGCCTGGGGGTCTATGCCAACACCTCCTGCTTCTGCTCTCTTAATCCAGAGGTGAAGTCAACCCCGTGTGCTTAAATCCCAAGAGGAGCCCAGTCCCCAGACTTTCTGCATACCAGCAGCACTGTCTAGTGTTAAACACTGCCTGAGGAAGAACCTGGGGTTCTATTTTGTATCTCAGCCCTGTGGATACATGGGAGAGCTGGGCTTTTGTCCTGCTCAATCTCAAGACATTAAAGCCGATATCTGCCCTCACAGCTGGAGTCTTCCACCCCACCGCTGGCTGAAGTAGGGCAGCCCAGGATGCCTGATGGGGGGCACAAGAGGGAAGCAAGGTATGAAGTTTAGTGGCTGCAGTCAACTGGTGGGAGAGGAGAGGTGTTTACAATCTCCCTCCTCATATGTTTGAGCCCTTTTTCCTCCTGAAGGTCATCCACATCTTTTGATACCCTCTGCTCTCTGCCTTCTCCTCCTGCCAGCTTTTCATACCTTCTCTGCTGTCAGCATTACACTGTTCCTCTCCCTAGAGTCTCAGGGGTGAGTCTCTTTCTGCTCACCAGATGTCTAAGCTCTCCTCCTGTATCTTCCTGCTCTTCTGCTCCATTAGCTACTTCCAGCCCTGCTCCCTCCCTGGCTGTGCCCCAGCTCCTGCTTACAAATATCAGGATATGTATGATTTGCTTGCTGCATGACTCCTTTATCAATCTCCCAGCCCTGGGTTCATTTAATTTAGAGCATAAGCTCCCCTGGGGCGCAGGGCCATGTCCTTTGTTTTAATCTTCTAAAGCACTTTGCTCAGTCTAGTGCTTTACCAATCTTCCTTAAAAGTATCAAGAAGTATTGATTGTTGGTGCACTACAGAGTGAGGACTGAGGGAGAGTCTAGCCCCATCCTTGCAGGTAGAGGGACTTGGAAGACAAACAGATCAGTGAATGCATCCTCTTCAGTGCTGTGATGGAGCAGGAAAAAGCAGTGCTGCTCAGTCCTTCTTTCAAGCCTCAGTTGTGTCACACTGAAACAGTGGCAAGGCTGTGTGTATTTGGGTTTCAAGTCATCCTCTGCCTCCTGAAGAACTACAGTCCCTCCGTGTGCAATATGTCGCAGCAACTCTTCCTGAAGTGGAGTACCACTTCTTTCCAATTGCCTGGGATACATGGCAGCTCTGCAGACGGTGCCTCTCTGTGGCAGAGCATTCCTTATCCAAGTCTGGCAGTGATTTTTTAAAGTGCCGTTTGTTCCAGACAAGAAGTTTGTGGTGTACATAAAGCTACAGATGAGCCCAATTGCAGCCTGGGATTTGGTCAAGGATTATTTCAACAGATGACAGCCAGAACTCCCACTGACATAATCAAATCCACACGTAAGAGTGGGAACAACTGCTTTGAACATGCACAGGCTGCTTTGCTGAGATACTCTTTTTTGAAAATGTGGCCTTAGAACTTTTGCTCTTTATAACTGCATTTTTGTGTCAGTATCCAGCAAAACCAGAATGGACACATGAGTTGCTTCATGCTGAGTTCCCTTTGTTTTCCAGCAAGAGGAATGATATATTTCAATAATTGTAAGCGACTTGAGTTACAAAAGATTGTTTGCACAGGGCAAGAGAAGAAAGGGATATACTGTGCTACCTCAAAGTTGTGGCACGTTCTATGAGACAAATGGGCTAATGAAAGTTGTCTGGGGAAGAGGAACTGGATCATTCTACCCTGACAAAGCTGTGGAAGGAATCAGCTCTTGCAGGATGTTCCTACTGTCCTTGAAGAGATCTGGATATCTCAAGAGCAGAGCAAGTTTGCCTTAGGTCCACTGTCCCTATGCTAGACCTTAAAGGGAAGCTTAAGTAATACTACTTATGTTCCAGCACAACAAAGTTATATGGAATCAGCCTGTGGCCACATGCTTCATGGGCTGCATGTTTGCCTCACTCCCTGCAGTGCAGGCAAGTCCTGTACCTGTGGAGCACAAGGAGACAGGTACTGTTGCTATTGCATGCAGTTGCCATTTTTCAGACCTTCAAACATGTAGGACCACTCAGCTGCCCATGGGAAATCAGACACTGAGCATGACCTGTCCTGGTGTGGCACCAGTTTCTTCACTGGCCAAGACTCAGAACAATGTGAAGTTCTGTCACATCTGGACTGAACTTGGTTTGAGGTGAAATCCTCCCATTCTGGGACAGGGCAGGTGCAGGGAGGGAGGGAGGAGCCTCCAGCCCATCCAGAGTGGAGGGTGGCAGGACTTACATCACCCAAAGCCTCACCACATCTCCCAAGCTGCTCTTTCTCGTTGTGTGGGCAGCTGGTTTCCTGCCAGGAGGAAGGTTCCTGGCCTGTTTTGTCATCCAAAAATCCATCTGTCTTCAAGACTGAGTCTTGTTTTTTAAACTAGTAATGTCAGACAGCCTGACCACAGCATCCTCCGAGAGTAGACCCAAGCTGTAATTTGGGAAACTTCAAAGCTTGCTAGATTTCTGCTTTTGTGTTAGGGAACGGTCTGCCCTTTCCAGTGCTGGTGCTAGTGAAGTTGCAAGGCTGGTCAATCTGCCCAGTAGCTGTCAGTTCCCTAGGTGGGAAGGAGGGGGCCTCTGTTTCTGAGCCGTGTTAGCTGCAGAGCGGTGGCAGGAGGGGCTAAGAGAGCTCTGGGAGGAGTGGAGGGCTGTTTAACGCTGCTGGAAAAAAGAGTCTCTTGTTGAAATGTCAGGTGGGTACCCAACAAGGAGCAGCACCTTAAATATGACTCACTGCTGAAACTCTCAGCCTGCCTAGGGAAGCAAATTCTCCCAACAAAGTGGATGTTGTTCCCTAAAACACAAGCCCTTTAAAGGGAAGGAAAAAAGAAAGAATGAGAAACAGATGAGAAGGGTTTAGGCAGGGGGAAAATCAAATTTTTCTGGTTAATTAATCACTCCTCTTGTGTTTTTTTTATTTTAGTTTGAAGGCTGCTCCAAAGCCTATTCCCGCCTGGAGAACTTAAAGACACACCTGAGATCCCACACTGGAGAAAAACCCTATGTCTGTGAACATGAAGGCTGCAATAAAGCCTTTTCCAATGCCTCAGACAGAGCCAAGCACCAGAACAGGACGCATTCCAATGAGGTAAGCCCGGGCTCACCGCAGCTCAGCGGAGGGCTTTTTTTAAATTTTGCTGACAATAAACATACACTTTACACACTGGACTCATGTAAAAAGAAACCTACTGTAATGAGAGGTTTTTCTTATTTTTTAATGGGATTTATTTTGCTGGAGAGCCAGACCACATTAGCTTTATATTTATGAAACCATGTTTGAAATCATAAACAGATGTTGAAGTATGCAAACTTTTTAATCGACTTTGGATATTAAAACAAGCATTTTCCAAATCTATAATTTTTAATAGCATAGATAGTATTGTACAGTTGTGCATGTGGTGCTTAATATTACTGTGGAGCAGACTTGTAGTAATATAACAGCTACCTTGGATCCTGATGCTCTGGAAATAATACTCCCTCCATCGTTTGATGTACAATGATAGAGCACAATGCAATGCTTTGTTAACCTTGGATAATTGAGACCCACTATTAGTAGTTGTGGAGCAGAGGAAATTGCCTTTATTGTAACGCATGTGATGGTCTGTTGCAATCAACCACAGCCGACGATTGAAATTTATATTACCACTAATTAGCTGACAGGGGAAGAAAAAACAACACTCTAAAGTTCTAATAGTGTTTTCAGCCATGAAGAATTCAGTCTATAGCCTAATTTGCAACAGTTAAATATAGACTATTGGAGAATGGAACGCAGTTGCCACGGTTGACAGCTTTTTGAAGTGATGCTGTGTCTACAAAGGGCTTGTTGGGAGTATTTTTATCTCTGGCTTATCAGTCAGTGATAACCAAAGTGCTGTGGGTTTCAGAGATTCTGTTGGAGTCAGAATAAGGACTCAAAGTCTAGAATCCCCTTCCATGCTGTGTGATGCTGAGACAGACCCAGTGAATGACCAGGATCCCAGTTTTGTTTGAATTGGTTTGGGTATGAACCCAAACATCAGGATTGTCCTCCACCAGCAAGCCACTTCCTCAACAGGACACAGGTTAAAATTAGCCCATATCCACACTTACACTGTGTAGTTGGCGTTGTTTTAAGGCTACACTGACCTTGAGGCCAGGAGGGACCAAAAAGACGTGCAACGTTTCATCTGCTCAGCAACCTGCATTCCCAGTAAATGGTGTTTGACTACAACATCATTTGCTCTATGTTAAAGATTCTTCCCTGGAAAGGTAGGCAGTTGTGATTTAATCTCACATTTCAAGTATTGGAAGTTGCTCATTCTCCTGTCCTGGATACTTCTTCTGCCTTCCTCCAGCACTGGATCCAGTGTCCCTTTCATTGTTGCTTTCATTGTAGCTCTGAACTCTACAGTGTTAAGCTGCTCTTCGTATTCTTGCCCATAAACTGAATCAAGCCCCTGAAGATTCGCATTTCTGCAGCATTTTTTCCTGCCCTTAAAAGAGATTAGCATCTCTCTTCAATTCCTAAAGATTCTCATGTGAATGGATCAAGAGTGCTGGGTACAGACTCATACAGCCCAGTTTGTGTACACCAAAGCGATATGTGAGGCCATAGATCACTTGAGCTCAGGTCACTAGAGCTTTACCAGGATCCTTCCTAGGCAGGGCAGAGTTTCCTGTCTGTTGAGCCTGATAATGAATTTTCATTTTGGCTGTGTTATTAAATGTAATTTCTCCAGTGAGTTCAGTTTCCCAAGTGATCCAGATTAGGAGCTGCACTGGATCTGGGATGACTCCTCACTGCATCTGAGCAGAGCTTGGACATACTTAAAAGTCTGTTCTTTTGAATTCCCCTTGTGCAAGAAGGGGAGGCTGTAGGGCAGGAGTATCCAACTTCATGTCTATTGTGGACACTGATCTAATATGCTGACACTTGGCACAACAAGTGTTGTTGCTTTCAACAACACAAATTTAAGACTCAGATAACAGATAGGGATTTTATCCTCTGCTGTTGCTTCCCCTGGAGGATGCCATAGCCTTCTCAGGTGCAGAAACAGCACAGCCACTAGTGGAGGATTTGTACCAGACCAGCTGACCTTACCATGGGAACTACATGGCACTGTATGATCTTACATTTTGCAATCATGCTCCCTCCTGAACTGCTGTTCAGCCCTCCTTGATGCAGTACAGACATGCCCCAAGACTTGTGGGAGATCTGTAGGCTGCATGTAATAGCTCTCTGAGCCACATATTTGACATCCTCTTTTTGGGGAACATATAACACGATCCTTTGCAACAGATGGAATCCCTCATGGCAGAGCTCATCACATTGGGCAGCAGGCCCAGGCGAGGGTCCTGCATCCAGCTGTGGCCAGGACCACTGGGTTAGCAAACTGCACTGAGACCTCGGCTCACAAAACCACACAAACGCAAAGCAGAAGTTTGTGGCTGTGAGTATTTCCCATTACCCATTGGTAACTCTCTTGTGGTTCCTAGCTAGCTACCTTCTAAATATTTTCCTCTGCTTGCAGTGTTTACTTGGAATACACCACAGTTTCAGATTAGTCATCAACGTCTCCTCTAAGGGGGAAGTTCCACATTCCCTGTATTTGTCACTATCATTGTGTGACAGGATGTAGGTGTATAGTCCAAACATGCTGAAGTTCAAGGCTGGGGATATATTACCACACTGGCTTTTGTTTGATTTTGTTGAAATGTCATAGACACTATTTAATTTTAAATTTTCAGTCACTACTTGAATTCCTTCAGGGGATACCTTAAAAGTTACTCTTGAGAAAAGGGCTTTCATCCCATGACCACTCTCCAGTGCATACACGAAAGAGTGGCATGAGTTTATGGCCAGCCAAAGGCTCAGAATGACATTTTCTGCAACTCAAGCTGAACAGGGGTAAAATGCAGAAATTTAGTTCTGCTTAGTGCTTGGGGAATTCTCCAGTTCCCCCACCCCAATGAGTATTACCTTGTATGTGCATGGGAGTAGGAGGGAGGCATCCGAGAGATCTAAACTGTTGACTTCACTAGGGCATACACTGCATTAGGTGTCAGAATCTGAATAACTCAGGGGATAGATGAAGACATGCCAACAAAACAGCAGTTGTGCTCAGTTCAGTTGCAGGATGTACAGCCTGACAAAGAGAATGATTGAATCCCCTTAGGTGGAGTGTCTGCTGTCCAAGCAATAGTGATTACATTACCCTAATTGCTGGGATCTGAAAAATCAGAACTATTGAGCCTAAAAGATCTTTGAGCTGTTTATGTACAGGGATTTTTTTACCGTGTGTAGTGGGGGTTGTGTTCTTTGGAATATAGTTTAATAGCAGCAATAATATTTCTATACTGCTTGTCTAAAAGGTTGCATGAAATTTTTAAGCAAACTATTTTACTTTTTGTGCTTTGGCTTATCCAGCTTTAAAATATAATAAATATTTACCTCGGTGGGGTGTGATGAAGATTTAGCTGGTTTGAGAGATGTGCCAAGATCAGTCAGGACGCATGCTTTTGAATAAAAAACGTGTTTTTAGTGTTTTTCAAGTGACTGCACTGGTTTTCTGCAAAGAATATATGCTCCTTTGTATTTTTTCACTGAAGTTTCTGGACAAAATTACAAAACAGATTTAAAAAAAAAGAACAGGAATGGTCATTTTGAGTAGCCTTCAAACAACATCTGTCTGTTTTTTCTCATGGATCTATCCCAGTGCATTGGCAGAAAAATACGTAGAGTAGTTGTGAGGCTGAAAGCGGAACTTGTGATGAATTCAGAGCTTCCAGCGCAGCAGCACCAGCTCAAACAACTGCAGCGCTAATACACTTCGGAATTGGAAATTCAATAAAATGAAAAAAGTTAAAAGAAGAAAAGTATCTGTTTGCTGACTTCTGTTTTCAGAAGGATGGCTTCATCCTTGTTTTCCTGTGGCAATCAATGATTCATGAATTCAGGACTAGAGTGCTATCATCTGAAAAAAACATTGCACGCCTGTGGTTTGTTTTGCACAATAACAGATTTCAAGGTGACAGGTGCTGGAGTGGTATGATAGATTGAGTAGGATGAATCCAGTCTGGCTTGGATTCACTGGAATTCCATCAGCCAGAAGGGAAGGTTTCAGACAGTTTCTTGGTGTAGACCCCACCTTAGCAGAGAGAATGTATTATACCTACTCCCCTACATCACCTCCCTCCCATCTTTAATCAGGAAACATTCCTGTGGCCACCCAAGCAAATATATACATAGGAAAGTAATATTAGGGAAAGTATTTCATGATTTCTTAGCTGTCCTTTAATCCAGAACATGAAAACAAGAAGTTTAGCCAACATGAAATAGCTGGCCAAGTCTGTGTGGATCAGCAGCAGCCCATATATCACATCTTCAATATCTCAGTCTTACAGAATCCTGTGGAGCAGATGCTCTCCATTTTGCTGCTGCCTGCTGCTATGCTCATTGTACTTTCTTGGCCCATACACTGTACCTGGAATATTTGGACTTATTCTAAATATAACCCAAGACTTGCTTGTATTGACAGAAACCCTACGTCTGTAAGATCCCTGGCTGCACGAAGCGGTACACGGACCCCAGTTCCCTCAGGAAACACGTCAAGACAGTGCATGGGCCTGACGCTCACGTCACAAAGAAGCAACGCAACGATGTTCACCCAAGGCCGCCTCCGCTCAAGGAAAATGGGGACAATGAGGCGAGCGCCAAGCAGAGCAACAAGGTTTCAGAGGAGAGCCCCGAGGCCAACAGCACCACCAGGAGCATGGAGGATTGCTTACAAGTCAAAACAATAAAAACGGAGAATTCTGTGGTAAGAGCAGTTGCTCTTGGCAGAAATGACATGGTCCCAAATCTCTCTGGTGCAATGGGGGCATGAAGCATTTGTATGCCATTTATGTCTCTGGGTAGGTGCCCTTCACCATTCCTGTTCAAGTCCAGAAATGAAGCTGCAGGTCAGGGCACAGTCCAGTACATTTTGCACCTTCCTACCCAGCGTCATGAATTCCTGCCTTCATAGTCATGGGGGCCGTATGATTCCCAGTGCTTAGCTTGGCCTTCCTGTGCTGTGAAACTGGATAAAACTCAAGTGTTGTGGTCAAATGAGCTCTACCTACCTCACTAGTTTAAATTGAGCAACAGTCACAGGGCACAGATTGATCATCTATCTGAACACTTCTTGAAGTGAGGTCCTGGGGTTTAAGCAGTCCCTTTTCTCCTCCTCCCTACACCCTTCACTGTTTTTCTTTTCAGGCTGCTGCTGCTGCACAGCAGTTTTGCTGGCTCAACTCTGTTGTAGGCTGTCTTGAGAAGCCAGTAGGGATAAAAGTAGTTGTTTTGGTTTTGTTGGGTATCTTAAAGCAAGTTCAGTTCCTTGGTTCTGTCCACTATACACAGAAGCACAAAATCACTGGGGTTGACAGGGATCTTGAGATCATCTGGTCCAACCTTCCTGATCAGTCAGGGTTGGCTAGAGCAGCTTGCTCAGGAGTATACACGGTCAGTACATGGCTCCCAGCTGCCACAGAAGATTGTAGTGGGATGATGGGGCAGGGGAGAGAAAGTAGGAATAAACATGGGAGCAATGCTGTGGCCCACATAGTACAGGCTTTCAGCCAACCATGATCATGCTTTACAGCCCCAGGAGTGGCCACCAGCTGAACCAAAGACCATTTATCAGCCTTCTGGCCATTACAGCAGCTCCACTGGTACTAAGGAGCTGTGTATAGTGTTGAGTTCAAACACATTCAAACCTCTTCAATCCCGTACAGGTAGCCCAGGGCTCGTGAAGGAGATGGAGTGTTGCAACAGAGACCACTTTTGATGTTTCTTTTCACCTTTGAACCCAAAGTTCTGATCTTCTGCACCAGCTCAGAGTGGGACAGGGTATGGGCTGGATACAGCAGAAAAGACCTTCACCTGCAGAGGAGTGTTCCTATATTCTGCAGGCTTCTCACTAGAGCTGAAAAGACTTTGAGCTCCAAAATATATTTTTTCTTGATTTGAATCCAGGCTAAAAGATTGTTATTGCTATGAAAAAAAGCATGCCCTGGAGCTACAAAGATTTTCTCAAAAGGTTTAGGGGATGTGTTGTTGAAAAAATTACTAATGAGCAGCATTTTTTCAGTTAGGAAAAAATTGAGTATTTTCACATCCAAAGTGTCTCTAATTGACTAAAGAAACAGTTTAATGTGATGAGACTCTGTACTGTGTTACAAAAGCTGAGTGTGAGAACCACTGGACAGAATGACCTCTCTCCAATACTCTTCTTCCGTGTGTTTTGATGGTTTTTTCCTATGAAAACACGAACACAATGACAGCTCCCCACCCTGTTTCTCCTGAAAGTATGGGGTTGTTCTCCTAATGCTCTGTGCTCCCAGGGTTCCAGCCAAGCCATCTTGCTGGCAGCAGGGCTGTGGGTCAGATGTTTCTCTTTGTTGTCCCTACCCAGCACTGGATACTTCACTTGTGCACATCTAACAGGTGGTGTCTGATCTGGTGGGCCCACATCCAATTCCTGTTTCCTGGTTAAGGTCGGGGTGGTGGGAGGGGTGAGATGCCTCACTGGTTCCCATCACTCTCAGGCCCCTTGTTTTGACCCATCTTTGGGTCTCACCCCAAACCCATGGAAACAGGTGAAAAGTCTCTTCTAGGGATCTTTATCTGGGCCTCCAAAGAGGGAAGGCAGGGAAGATGGGGTATGGGAGTGGGGGAAATGTTGGCAATTTGTACTGTATTCTGCATTTCCCTCTTCCTCCTTTTACTAACATGGCCTTTTTTGTTAATAATGTCTTTGTCCTAACAACCTGTTCTTTATTCCCACTTACCCTTCCTTACTCTACCTTCCTAAGGACAGTCGGTACTAAGGTGAGCAAAGATATCCTTTATATTAAAATAGCTGTATAAAGCATGGTCTCCTGTAGATCTCCTGTCTCCGTTTAACCCCTCCAGGGTGGAGGTGGAGGCATGCAGGGCAATGGGGAGGGGATATTTGCTTGAGCACAGAAAGGGGGAGGACATGGTGCCCAATGATCCCCTTTGCCGGCCTTTTCCAATCATCATGATGTACCATTAAATCCTGGGATTGCAATCTACCATCTGGATTGATGGGCAATCAGAGCCAGTCAGCCTGCCTGTGGGGTCTGCTATGGAGCAAAGTACAACACTGCAGCACCCTGCATTCCCACCTTGGCCTGGGGCAGAGTACATTGCCTTTTCAGCACTTCCATTTTTTGCTGGAGCATGGGCCTGGAGCAGAGAGCCAGGCATCTTGTTTGTTGGGAGCAGTAGCTACCTCAGAGCAAGTTCAGACCGTATAGTGTCTGCTGCAAAGAAACTACTCAATGTGAAATGCAATTCCTAATGTAAATAAAATAAATATTTATGGTGCTTTATCTGCCTTATCTGCAAGTGGGAGTTTGCAAACAGTGAACCAGGTTTTTATCTGGCTAGGAAGTTTGTCAGCTAACCTGATTATATGTTAGGGTGTTTTAAAGACAGAAAGACGTGGTGTCTGAAATACCTAGGCCTTGTTCCCATGTTAGATAAGCCAGTGTTTGCTGCAATATACTTTACACAACCAGATAACGTGCTGCTTTTCTTTGAGAAACATCCATCCTTACTCTTTTGGAGGAAGAGCATTTGATTTCTCTCCACCTTCCAGTTGAACCCACTATAGTTTTTCCAGCTGTGGAGTGCTGTCCTGACCTCCTCTCACAGGGAAGGGGTGCCTGCCTTCTTGTAGAGCTGAGATCCTACAGCAGGGAAGGGTAACAAGAGAGGGGAGAGCCTAGGACAGGAGCTTACCTAGGCCCCAGGACTAACACTGGGAATGTTGGGCTCCTGATTTCTTTCCATCCATGTTTTCACCTACCCAACTTTTCCTCCTCTTTTCCTTCCCCAAGATGTGTCAGTCCAGTCCTGGTGGCCAGTCATCATGCAGCAGTGAGCCGTCACCCCTTGACAGCACCAACAACAATGACAGTGGAGTAGAAATGAACATACACAGCGGGGGAAGTCTGGGAGATCTGACGGCGTTGGATGACAACGCTCCTGTTGTGGACTCAACGGTCTCTTCTGGTAATTCAGCAGTCAGCCTGCAGCTAAGGAAACACATGACGACAATGCAACGACTTGAACAGCTCAAGAAAGAGAAACTCAAGACAGTTAAGGATTCCTGCTCATGGGTGAACCCAGCTCCACAAGCCAGAAACACCAAGCTGCCTCCCATCTCAGGAAACGGTAAGCCCTGTGCCTGGAACATGTCCTTTAGGAACACTCCAGAGTTTGACTCTGGTTTCATAACCAAGAGTCTGCCCTGGAGGAATGAGGAACATATTTTGTTGCCTCTGAGTCAGCCCTTGCTAGATAAAGATGTCAGGTAAAATGGACAGCTTGAGTGTAAACGCAGCCATCTGGTCATGTGCAACAGAACCCCAGATGCTCAGTTCTACAGAGCTGTGAAGGGAGGCAGAGGTGTTGGTGTCCTTGTTTTTGGGCTTGCCCAGGACCCAGACACAGCTGTTCTCGTTGTCCCAGTGACAGCCGAAAGACTGCTTGCATTTCTGTCAGCAATAACAGTCCCCCTAGGGCTAATGTGCCTCCTGGGAGACCAGTGGAGCACAGCAGCAATACAGAGAAGACCTCCTTCCCTAATCTTGCTCTGACAGGCCTTTTGGGACTTCGAGAAATCCTGGCTATTGCTTCCAACTTCATATGCCAGTTTCCCACTGGCTGACAATTCCTGGTAAACGTATCTCTATGATCCCTACAGTGCTCCTCTTAACTTTGCCAGGAAGTCCCAAGGCATAGTGTCTGGGTTATAATGGACCTCACAGCTTAGTATATTAGAGCTTTTTGGGTTACTCTTGGAAGAGACTTTGAATGTGAACTTTTGGGCTCTCGGCCTCCTATCCCTGACTGTGCATCTGTTCCAGAGAGCAGCTGTGGTTGTGGCTACATGCTGTCCCTGTGGCACTGTTCACAGCAGTCCTACTTTTTTCCTACTGAGAAGCCCATGCAGAGACATTCCCTCAGCAACTGAGTATTGGGGCATACACATGACAAAGACTGTCCAGCAGGGACTTCTTAACTTCTCTCCACAGCCTTCTTGCTCTTTTTGCATGGACATAGAGCTGAAGATGAAGCTTTGAATTCACTAGCAGCAATGAAATTCACTATCACTCCCATGAAATATTTGAGGGTGTCTTTGTGGGTCTGTATTCTGTCACCAGGAACACTACCAAGTGAAATTTCTCAGCTAACTAAACCTTTTTCTTCCCTGCAACCTTTCTCTCAGGCTCTGTTCTAGAAAACAGTGGTGGTTCTTCTGCTACGCTGCCTAATCCCAGAATAATGGAGCTTTCTGTCAATGAGGTTACAATGCTGAACCAGCTCAATGAGCGCCGTGACAGTACAACAAGCACCGTCAGCTCTGCCTACACCGTCAGCCGCAGGTCATCAGGGATCTCCCCGTACTTCTCCAGCCGCCGTTCCAGTGAGGCTTCGCACCTCGGGCACCGTCCCAATAACACCAGCTCTGCCGACTCCTATGACCCGATTTCAACAGACGCCTCCCGCCGGTCGAGCGAGGCGAGCCAGTGCAGCGGGATGCCAGGTCTGCTGAACCTCACACCGGCTCAGCACTACAGGCTGAAAGCCAAGTACGCTGCTGCCACAGGGGGCCCTCCTCCGACCCCCCTGCCGAACATGGAGAGGATGACCCTGAAGAACAGGATCTCACTTATGGATGGACCAGACCCCACCTTGCCCTCCATCCGCCTCCCACCAGGCCCCAGGCGTTGCAGTGATGGTAACACCTATGGCTACCCATCAGCTCCAGCATTTCCCCACGAGGTGCAGGGCAATTGCATGAGACGGGCAAGCGACCCAGTGAGGAGACCTGCCGGAGACCCCCAGGCCCTCCCACGAGTTCACCGCTTCAACAGCACCAACAGCATGAACCCCTTCCATCCTCCCCACCCCACAGACAGGAGGAATTTTGGTCTTCAGAGCTACGGGCGCTCAGATGGGAGCCTACCCCGGCACACCTACTCACCCCGACCACTGAGCATCAGTGAAAACATCGCCATGGAAGCCATGTCCGGGGAGACAGAGGCGCCCATTGGAGATGATGACATTGTGCTGCCAGATGATGTGGTACAGTACATCAAGTCCCAGAGCAATGGGACAGCGGCCGAGAGCACTTCCATGGGGTACAGCAATGAGATGCAGAACTTCCAGGGAAGTGGGAAGCTGCAGCCTTCAGCTTTGCCCAGCCAGCGCAGGATGGCAGTGGCTGAGGCAAGCATGAGCCACTTGGGACCCATGATGGCAGAGTGTTCCATGAGTTTTGATACTTCCTCAGACATGAATAAAAATAACATGCCTGTCCAGTGGAATGAAGTCAGCTCAGGTACGGTTGATATCATGTCCAATCAGTCGAAGCAGCAGTTTTCACAAGGGAACTTAGCGGTGGTGCAGCAGAAGCAGAACTTTGGTCAGTACCAGAACTACAACCAGCAGCAAATGCAGCTGCCAGATAACGGTATGAATGTAACACAGCAGAGCTTTATGCAAAGAAATGTGGGCATGGATGGGCAGAGACTAAACTGTATGCAGCTGCGGCAGCAGCCGATGAGCCTAGGCCCCGGTATGAACCCTGATGTGGGCTTGCACACAGGGTACAACCAACCTCATCAGATGCTGAGTCCCAATGCAATCAGTGGCAACCCAAATCAGATCTCTCCTAATTGTAGCAACATGGCAGCAAAATCTGGACCTCACCTTCACCCTCAGCAAATGGACATGACGACCGACCCTTCTTTGATGGTCAGGAGCAACAGTGAGCGCCCAGTGCTGGGACAGGTCATGCATGAACCGAGTCAGCAGAATTACTCATCTCAGCCAAGCCACCTGAACTTCCCCATGGCTCAAGAGACCTTCCATCAGCCCATCATGGCCTCCAATCAGCCCAGCTTTGAGCCTCAGCAGAGCATGATGGGTTCAGCTGCTCAGGCATATCCACCCGGTATGATGCAGCCTCGTCCTCCGCCCGAGCCAAACCCGGGCAGCAGACCCCGAGGCCTCCGCACCGTCCAGCAGCTGGGGTACATGAGAACTCCCCATCCTACGAACACCACCAGCCCAGGCCAGGAGACAACAGAGGCCATGCATAAAAGAACCAGTGACATGTTGCTAGCACCCGCTCAGCAGTGCGCGGAGGGCACGAGGGAGAACAATTTGATGTACTATTACGGTCAAATCCACATGTATGAACAGAACAGCAGCTTCGATAATCATGCAGACTGCCGGGTCAGGCAGCAGCAGTGCACACTGAACAGCAAGCCAGCCGCTCTGCCTTCCCCAGGTGCAAACCAGGTGTCCAGCACGGTGGACTCTCAAGGTCTTGAGCCGCCCCAGATAGATTTTGATGCCATCATGGATGATGGGGACCATTCGAGCTTGATGTCGGGAACCCTGAGCCCCAGCATCCTGCAGAACCTCTCCCAGAACTCCTCTCGCCTGACGACTCCACGAAACTCTCTGACACTGCCCAGCATACCTGCAGGGATAAGCAATATGGCAATAGGTGATATGAGCTCCATGCTAACCACGCTGGCGGAAGAGAGTAAATTTCTAAACATGATGTCATAACAGTAAAGCACAAGGCCTTAGTGCTATCCAAGGAGCTCTGCGTGAAACAGTTTTATGAATGTGCTTTTCAAAAATAATCTGTTTCAATAGAGTAGGGTTTTTTATAAGTACTAAATATATTAAAGGGATTCAAAACAAAAATTTTAAAAAGTCTTTGTACAGAATTATGTAAACTATATCTAGGCAGTTCAGCACCACAGGGGTGCACCTCTAGTATTATTTTTTTGACTTGGTTTCCCAGAGCACTGAATGGTATCACCACCAAGCTAGGAAACAGCATGAGGATGGTTAGAGATGAAAGACTCCCTTCCCAGAAGCCCTGTAAATAGCACTCCCCATCGTTTTCCATTAGTTACATTTGCAAAAAAATTCCGTTTTCAACCTGCCCCAGAAGGAAATGGGAGGATGCAGTTTTGATTAGAATAAAAGCCATACTATGTATTCTGCTCTGATGAGAGTAGGGTTTAGTTACGTCTCCAAACAAGCCCTCTGCCAGCAGTATTGTTTTATACCATAAATGCCTTTGTACCTTGCAAAGAGCGACGATTCCAAACAGCTTCTCAGCAAAGTGCCTTACCATGCTTTCTTGTTAAGTAGCCAAGGCCTCTCTTCCTTTAAAAATCAAATATAGTGTATTGCCAGAAGCGTATATAAAATGTACATTTATAAAAACATAGTGGTGTTTCTGAGAAAACATTGGAAAGACACATTGATGAGACACATAAAAGGTGAATGCACACTTTGATCAGATGTGTTTACAACGTGGTTTATATCATGTGCAGAGTGGAGCAAAGGCCTGGGAACAGCAATCACTGGGAAATAATCCCCTGTGGCAGGAAGGCTCTGGCATGCGGACTGACACACATGCATAACTTTTGCACCTTCTGAGCACAGTGACTTTCTGCGAGGGCCCCACATGCATCTTTAATGTCTTGTATCCCTGTGCAGCTTTGCAACAGCTTCGTTCTCTGATGGGTTTTGCATGCTGAGGCACTCATATAAACAAGTGATGGTGATGGAGAGAATTTTATGATTGTGTCAGCCCAATGTGGCAGCACTGGGGGAGCTGATTGATCTGGCCAGGGTTTGTCTGTGTGATGTACTCAGTGCAGGGCTCTACCTGGGCTCCATGCACACAACAGGCACGTGGCTGCATTGATGTGGGGCCAGGCATGAGCTAATACACCCTTCCCCACAAGCAGGCTTGTTGGCATGCACCCAGTGCTATATTAACATGTTTCATAGCACAAAAAGAGCTGCTGTATCCAAAAAATACACCATGGTCAACCTGGGTTGTTCATTTGACTGCACCTGCAGCCTACAGTGTAGACATACATCTGGATAGTCTTTGAGTCAGAATCTCTTGGAAGTGTCCTTGGGGAAAAGAGGGGAGGAGCAAGGCCTCCTAAAGCCAAATCCTCCACCAAAATATAACTGCTTGTAATAATGATCAGCTGTTTCCAGGATGGTCCCACCTGGCACTGAAGTTAATCTTAGTTGCATTATTTATTTTCGCTGTCTTTAGACAAAAGGGTAGAAGCAGTGGGGTGCATGTACTTGGGAGGAGGCCTTGTTTAGCTTCTGACTGCATTGGACAGGGGCAATGTTTCTCTTCCTGCTCTCATAGCCTCAAATACTTTGTACCCCATATGTTGAAGGGCAGGGAACAATTGTAACATCCCCCCAAGGTTCTTACAGTTTGACTGGGCAAGCAGCTGCAGAGCTTCACTCTTTCGTTCCCATCTCCCCATCATATCACTGTGATGTTCTCACTTGCATCTGATTCCGTCCCCTGCACAGGACCGGGACAGCCCTATAAAGCTGCTTTCTGGTGTCTTTTCTTTTGCACAAATGGATGTCAGGATCGCTCTTCCCAGCATGACCAGGGGCTGACATGACAATGCCATGTGCTACCTCCAGGCAAACTTTGTGTTATCAGATACACAGCAGTGCATCTGGCAGCCATTCTTGGCAGTGGTGGATTGGTAGCCCTGGGTATGGCTGGTGCAGGGAGATGCTTCTCAGCATCCTTCATTCTCACCTCTCCTCATCGCAAATGCAGAGGGTACACACAGGATGCTATCAGAGGGTACACACAGGATGCTCTCACCACCGCCCTTCACCCCTCAGTGACTGCTGCTGATGTCCAGGGTGCATGAGGACAGGAAAGCAAAGCAAGGTGCCTGGCTGTTTATTTGTGTCTCCTGTGAAAGTTGTGTTTAAAGGGATTATTTTATAGTCTGCTGTATATATTCTCCTGCAGTTACTGACCGTGCCCTTGCCTTTGCATTTATGGAAAAAGGGCAGTAAATGTTTTAGGACATTGTGTGTTGTCCTGGATGCTTGGAGTACAACTGGGCATCCCTTATGCTGAGATGGATCAGGCTTTCGTGTGTCCTTCAACTGCTAATCTGATTTTTTTAACAGCTGCATAGGGCAACGGTGGCTACTGAGTCCCTCCTCACAGATATCTCATTAGAAAAAGTTCAAATACAAAAGCAAAACCAAATCTCCAATGACTTGAGATTTTTTGGACTTTCCAGTGGTGGTCTTCCTTCATTTACAGAAAAAGTATTATAATAACCATTCCAGCACTGTATATATTATGTATAGAAGACATCATTACTAAAAGTACTGTAGGTGAATTGTTCTGTCAAATTTATATCTTAAGAACATTTTTAGCTGTTTTCTACATCATAAGAATGGAGGTAACATGCTGAACCTGTATATAAACCTTTTGTACATTAAAAAGTAATTTTTTTTCATAATTCATTGTGTCTGCTGTTATTTCTTTTTATTGGTAATGGTGGTTGGTCTTGGTCTGTCATTGCCACACCAGCACAGTCAGTTGGACTCTGGTGGTTGCTTAGAAACAGCTGGCGAGCAACTGGACAGGCCTGGTGTGTCACAGCACAGATGTGCAGTGCTCTTGCCTTGAAGAGCTTCCAGTCAACAACGAGATTGAGGTGGCAGGAAGAGAGGCAGCAAGGCCAGGGTGTGCTGCCAGCACAGTCCTGCTGCCCAGGTGCTTTTCACTGGCCTCTTGGTGGAGGTGATTTGAAGGAAAATGTCAGTGTAGCAGGGACAGCACAGGAGAGGGGTTCAGAGCAAGGGCTGCAGAAATTTGGCAACTAGGAGATTTACAGTAAAAATGGCTTGTTGACTGTCTTGGTCAGTGTCCAGAAGGAGACAGAAATAGGACAGATCAGCAGAACTGTGATGGGCCATGACAGTGACAAATTGAATACTAGGTTTGGAGAAAGGAGAAATTAATCTGTGCATTATGTATGTGATGGGAAGCAATGATATGGTGAGCAACAGATACATCAGTCGGGATCCAGTTAGAGCCTCATCCAGCCCACTGATGAGAAAGATTTAATTTGGCTGCAGCAAGGGCTAGTTCAGCTGCTCAAGAGACTGATTTTTAACTTGATTTTGTACGGGTGGGTTGGTGTGGTCTGGGCTAGAGCTTAAAGGGAGGTTGAGGAGACTGTTCACGGGTGATCCTTATGGGCACAGCAGTCACTCTGGAATGAAAGTCAGTTGCTGGGCAAAGCAGCTGCTCAGTGAATCACACTTGGTGCAAATGAACAACCAGTTTCATGCAGAAGCAACTGAAAGGGATGCACTCCTTTTCCTCTGTGCAGGATCCCTGCTGAGCTGGATCGAAGAATCAGGTACATTTTGGACAAATCCTTACCCTATTATGAGGGTTCCTTCATGGTCCATAGCAAGAGATTGGCATATCCCTCTTGGGAAATTAATCTTTTCTGGTTTAGACATGTAGGGTGCGGTGACTTTCCTTTGGAAGACGTGTCACTCTCCTCATTGATTACAGAGAGACCCCCAGTAGCCAGCTTAGATACCTTCTCCGGTGGGTGAGGTGAATCCCATGCTGCTGTGAATCTCTTACACAGATCTAGTCACCCTCAGCATGATCTGAGGTTGAGTCATTGAATGTGTTAATGATCCTGTTAGTCTGTAAATTCACTGGATAAATACCATGCCTCTCTTTCTGTCCAAGAATTACAGAAATCACAATAAAAAAATGCATTAATATTATTAAAAGGAAATTGTTCAGAGCTTTTCTGTTGGCAAAAGGCTTTGGAGACTCAGATCAGCTCCTACTGCTTTTCTACTTCAAACACTTAAAATGGGTTTCTAATCTAAATCAAATGCTGCTTTTAGCTGGTGTTTCACTTCAGAGTTCAATCAGGGCACACCTCTGCCTTTGTGAGAACATATTTATTACTTTAACTGGGCTAAGATTTCTGAGGAGCCCACCTGAGGTCATGTACCAGCATGTGCATTTTTACTGCTTCACCATTCTGGAATAAACAAGCATCGAAAGGCTCATTGCTCCACTTGTAAGCAGGTAATAACCCTTCTGCAACAAATGTTTATAAGCCAGAGCTTCGAGTTTATACTTCTGTGGCAGCTGCATAATATTCAATTAACCTTCTTTTTAATCAATCATATCCCTTCTGAAAACAAACCATTCTACCAGGTCTGATTCTGACCCTCTGTGGTGAGTGTTAACTTCACTCCACTCCCAAAACCAGTAGGAGCATAGAAGGAGTAAGATCCCAGTCTGGGTAAAGCCATTACAGCTCTTTAATATTGCACTAATATCTCAGGTTTTCCTGGAGGGGAGAAAAAGCCCATAAAAGCTACTGTTGCTGGATCTGATTGCACTTACTGAATACGGAGTCATTCCGACGGCTCTTTATTGCAGTGGTCTCAGTAGGGATGACATAGGAGCTCTTGTTCTTTACGAGCTGTTGGATCTACTTGGAAGAGCCTACGCGTTGTAAATAAATGGTGTGTTTTATAATATTGGAAGGACAATTTATGACCAAGCAAGGCCTCTTGCAGACAGCTATTTAACTTGTAAGTAAAATGACCTAACACTTAAGAAATTTAGAAGCTACAAAACAACCTATGTTGTGGCCAGTACACTTATTTCTATTTGATTTATGCTTCATGTAAAACTTGAAATGGCTATATTAAATATATTTGGTGTAAAAATAAAATTAAAAAAAGAACAAAGCAACGTTTTCACATATGCTGAAGGTTTGTGACTACTGTAGCTTCCTCCAATTGTACCAGCACCTCTGATTCATTACACCGGACCTTTTCCCTCCCTGTTTCCATTTTCCCTGCACTGACCTGTCAGGCAGATATGTAGGGGGCATGGTGGCATGCCTGCTGTCAACTTTGAAAGAGCTGCTGCATTCATCTACAGTGGACTTGCTGGAAACATTCCTCCATGTATTAGTTGCTTACCAAAAAGCAAATTCTGTAGCTATTCTGTCTGTCAGAGGCTGTTTTGCCATCACACCTTTACCATGATTTGTAGGGTGGTATCAGCAAGGAGCAACAGCATGACAACACGCCATGAAAGGCAGCTCTTACACCAAGAAACAGGGAATGGGGCTATGTTAAGTCTTTGGTCTATATTGCTCTGTCTAGCCTTAACTCTTATTAAGTACAGCCCAGGCTAGTCTTCATAGAGAAAGGATGTTTAAGGAAGGACTTTGAAGAAGCAGCTTGGTCTGATCCTCTAAGTGTCTTCTAAAGGACTCTCTCCCTTTCTCTCTCCATTCAGTATAAAATCATATAGATAAAGACAACCTTCACAAGTGCCTCCTCTCTCCCCTGTCACTATGCCTTTTCTGTTCCTCTTTGGGAAGGACCCCAGAGTGCTCTGCCCATAGAAACGTCGTCTCTGCCAGGCTTTGACAGACAGACAGTTGCATTTTTTGAGTCAGGAGCATGAGGAACAGCTTTCCTGACACCTGCAGAGTGAATCATGCAGAAGAAGAGCACACATTTCACAGCTGGATGTTGGCCAAAGCACCAAGGTTCGTGCTACAGTGTGATGGTAGTGGTTAAAATAGATCAAATGAAATGAGGAGAGTAGCGGGGAAGGAAGCAAAACTCTGGACAGAGCAGGGCTAATTTTCTTCATGGCTTTATGTCTCCCAGTGTGTCTCCCATCTGGGAGTTTCAGGGGCCATGAGGCATTACTGGGCATGACAAAAACAAAACAAAGAAGTGAAGCTTATGAGGGTATAAGAGAGATCTATTTTCAAAGAGTAGATCTGTAGAGCTTCACAGCTTCTGGAACAAAAGCAGCATTTTTAACTCTGTTACCTCTTTTTCCCAGTGCTTGGTTGAGCAGTCGTGCAAGCAACCATCACCTGAAGGAGCAGTGTGATGGTGGCACAGCAGTCATGCAGCACTTGGGGGGCTTCAGCCACCTGCTCAGATGGAAACAACCATGGCAGTGACAGCGACCGAGGAAAACAGCTGGGACAGATTCGCAGAAAGCTTGGAAAGGCAAAGCAGCCCCAGGCCTAGAGTCTGTAGGTGGGCTGCCCCACCCTTTGGCAGCACCAGCATCCTGCCCTTGGCTGCAGACCTTGGAGCAAAGGCGCTCCCAGGCTCTGCGGCTCAGCCAAGCTGCAAGAAACAAACGTGCTTCTCCCTTTCTGCCCACTGTTACTGTATAGCAAGAACTTGGTAATCTCCAGGTGGCTTTACTGGGCCCATTTCCCAACTGGCAAAGCAGCCCTCTGAGAAGGTACCTGGCTGATGCACCTACCCATCTGATTGGCATCTGAGCAAAGTGTCTTCACTGACTGAAAACTGATGGATTTTTTTTTTTTTTTTGAGCAGAATGTCTTGATGTGAATCGTTTAACCTCTGTGTCACTCATCAATAATGACGATAAGTGAAATTCGATGAAATGCACAGAGGATTAAACATCACTCCAGGCACACTGAAAGTGGGCGGTGTTACCGTATCTGAGAGATCTTAGGGAGGGGTGAGAAAATGGGTTTTGCTCTGCAGTCCCAGAGGCTGAACCCCCTGTAGCACCAGCACCAGCTGAGAAGGGTGCTCCAAATGGTGATCCTAATCAATTCCTGCAGGCCAGTGAATTTCTTTTGTAAGCAGCCATCCAAGAAACAAACAGGTCTCACCTTGCTTGAGGAGCTCTCTGGAAATGATTGCTTGTCTTAGCAATGTCAGGAGATTTGTCAGAGAATATGAAAAATGTTTTCAGGGAATAGAAACTGGGGCTGAGCCAGGTGAAGGTTTCTACTTAATTGAAAAAAAAATAAATCCCAGCATTTCCATCATTAACTGGAAATAAGTGGGAGCATTTTTAACGGATCAGCAGTGGTCTGTGTGTTGAAAGCACCAATGACACCAAAGTATTTGAGAAGGCTTTTCTTAGAGACGAGAGCCAGCTTTGTGGTCACTGGACACTTAAAAAAAATGGTCTGTAATTCCCCAAATTACAAGGGAAATTTAAAGTCTGAACCCATTCAAAAGCTTTTCCAAAATTTAACACATACTTATAGTACATCAACAACTTTATCCTAAAAACCTTCCAAATCTAAACCTTGAATTTACAAGAGCATGGGGCTGAGACATGACTTCTCAAGTAGTCTCGTAAAAAGTGACATCAAAAGGATTTTCAGCTAAACTATTATCTGTGCATTTCTTAAAAAATGTTTTAACTGTAATTTACATTAAAAAAAAAAAAAGAAAAATTTAGTATGCAAAGAGCTGGGCTGGTTTCATCATGGATGAATCAGTACCAGGAAAGTTAAGTCTCAAAGGAGCCACAAGGAGCTGTTTTCCACCCCTGCTCTTTCTGCAAAGTTGTTCCACTTGTAAGACTTTGGGATTGGGCAAATCTCACAAAAGACAAAGGTGTAAAATAAAGTAAGGGGTTGAGAGCCTTTT